GGATTATTTTTGGTGTGTCATCTCTAGCTTTGTAGTGGTAAATAATGTCCCTAATCAACACATAATTTTTACTTTCAGGTTTGTAATACCAGAGTTCTGTTTTCTGACCATTCTATGAAGATTTTCTTTTTTTCTCTTAATCGAATGCGATTTTTAAGTGATTCCCCCACCTTTATTATTTTTTCATCTATAGTATCTAGCATTTGGTAACAATCTAAAAATTACTGTCAATGAACTTGCACTTAAAAATATATGTACATAAATAAAGGCTTTTCTTGCAAAAGCTGACAGCTCAAGAAGTGCCTGGAGACATAAGCCTTGCAAACCTTTGTGTTCAGAAAGAACTGATTCCACCAAAGCACAAACACGTATCCATTTTCAAACTAGCATCAGAAAGAAGCTATATCCTTTCCAAATTTCCCTGCTCATTCCCCTCTCCTTAGAAGGGGCTCACAGACATGGCCCACTTCTTATTCTCAATGTAAGCAACCTCCAAATTCAAAGTCAAAACCTCTGAATTTTTTCCAAGCCTTCCAAAGAGCTGTGTGCCACAAATCCTTGCTAATTTTCGTATACACCTAATTCTGGCATCAGCATTTTAACAGTCTGTCAATGCCACAAAGAGCCAACAGAAAAAATACCTTAAAAAATAAATTCAGTGATTCCTATAAATTCATACATTGAAATAATATAGAGAAATATAGAAAAACATTAGTTTGACTACCAAAAGAAAGTTCACTGTGACATTCTGTCTTCTCCACATATTACACATCATGTAGAATTTTTTGGGGAATTTAGAGCTCAGCATGGTCAAACTCCTTTTTTTAATAATCTAAAACCGAAAAGAATTCTAATCTCTAGCAGGCAAGACAGGTTTTTCCAGTGTATAAGTTCCAACATACAGCTGTAATGTGAAGACTGAGACAATCTATTCCAAAATGCTCTGTATGAATAGAAATCATAGTCATAATAATTTTAGAGTTTGATTTCTAATCCTTTTTCTTTGATGACCAGATACCTACTCTGTCAGAGAATGAGAACAACGGAGTGCCAAACTTGTTTCCTTTGAACTCACGTAAATAAAGCCATTTACAGTAGTCTATATTTTTTGATGATACAAGTAAGTTTGAGAAATTAGATCTTTTTTGTATATACAATGAAAAATGCATTTAAAAAGTCTGAAATATTACTGTAGGCAAACAAAATTTCAAGTATAGACACAGGAACTTAATATGAATTCCTCAAAACCATGAGCTTGTTAGGGATTTTCTATTATGTTCAACAGAATGTATAATCTCTTTCTGAAAAGGGAGCCATCAGAACCAATGCAACTCTGCAAACAGGGCAATACTGAACTTCAAGAGCATCTTTCAGAAGATGTGCATATATAAATTGATTCCTACTAATGTATACAACAAAGCAAAGGATAAATTTATCAATATCTGGGCCTAGAAAGTCATATAAAAAATCCAATAGAACTAAACATTAAAAAAAAAAAAAAGTCTTGCAAAAATGTATTTGGTCTTGGACAACAAAGTTCCTGTTACCTAGAAAGAGGACCAAAGGCATGCTAATATGACAAGCCATCTTCACATCTGAAATGGATGAATCATAATTAAACCTCTTTTAGGTTCTTTAGGCCAATTTAATTACAGACTTATTTGCACACTGTAGTGGTTTGGCCCTGGCCAGGCACCCACCAAAGCCACTCTTACCAATCCCTTGCACAAAGTGGACAGAGGAGAGAAAATGCAATGAAAGGTTCATTGAGATAAGAACTTGGAGAGATCACTCACTGAATACTGTCACGGGCAAAACAGACTCACTCACCTTGGGGATATTAACTGAATTTATTACTGACAAAACCAGAGCAGGATAATGACAAGTCAAATAAATCTTAGAACCACCTTCCCCCCACCCCTCCCTCTCCCGGCTCTACTTCTTCCCTGCAGTGACACAAGGAGACAGGAATGGGTCGGTTCATCACACGTGGTTTGTTCCGCTGCTCAGGGACAGATGTCCTTCCCTTGCTCCAGCGCAGGGTCCCTCCCACAGGAGGCTGCTCCCCATGAACTTCTCCAACTTGAGTCCTTCTCAGGGGCAACAGTTCTCCACAAATGCTCCAACGTGACTCACTTTTCCCCAGGGTTCATTCCTTCAGGCACAGCCTCCCTCCAGTGTGAGCCCCCCACAGGCCCACAAGTACTGCCAGGACACTGCTGCAGCATGGGTCTTCTCTCCACAGGTCCTGCCAGGAGCTTGCTGCAGCACAGGTTTCCCATGGCTCACAGCCTCTTTCAGGCATCATCCACAGGCTGCAGGTGGATATCTATACCCCATGGGTTGCAGGGGAACAGCTGCTCCACCATGAGTTTTGGGTTTAGGTGGCTAGGTTTTGACAGTGGGGAGGGGGGCGGTCTACAGGGGTGGCTTCTGTGAGAAGCTGCCAGAAGCTTTCCCTGTGTCCAGCAGAGCCATTACCAGCAGCTCCAGGACAGCAGCCACTGCTGACCAAGGTTGGGCCAATCAGAAATGATAGTAACACCTCTGTGATAACAGCTTTGAGAAGGAAAAAGTGTTACTGTGCAGATGTAATTGTGACCAGAGAAGGGCAGGGTGAGAACACATGAGAGGAACACCTCTGCAGACACCAAGGTCTGTGCTGAAGGAGGGGGAGGAGGCGCTCCAGGCACGGGAACTGAGATTCCCATCTGTGATGATGATGCCCATGGATACTGGGTGTGGCTGAACTAGAGTTCATTTCCCATAGCAGCCTTCCCAGGGTTGTGCTTTGCGCTGGGAGCTGGAAAGTTGATAACACACAAGTGTTTTGGCTACTGCTGGGCAGGGCTGGCACAGCATCAGTGCTGGTTCTCTACACTCCCTCCAATCATCAGGCTGGGGGCTGGCAAGATCCTGGCAGGGGACTCAACTAAGCCAGCTGACCCAAATTAACCAAAGGGACATTCCATACCATGTGACATCAGCTCAGACATAAAAGCTAAGGAAAGGAGAAGGAAGTGGGGCCATTTGTTATTTACAAGGTTTGCCTTCTGGAACAACCACTACAGGTGTTGAAGCCCTGCTTCCCAGGAAGCAGCCACACATTGCTTGCTGAGGAGAAGTAGAGAACAAACCTATTATTTTCGTATTTGTGCACACACAGATTTTTACTTTTGCCTTAGCAAACTGCTTTACCTCAATCTAGGAGTTGTTTTCCATCTTATTTTCTCTCCCCTGTCCAGCTGGGAAAGGGGAACAATAGAGCAGCTTGATGGTTACCCAGCATCCAGCCAAGGTCAACCCACCACACACACCCCCCTATCTCAAACTTAATTTGCACTTTCATGCTTGTGAACTCAATAGGAACATTTCTTTCATGAAGCAAATACTCAGTTTGGACTGATGCATTGCTGGTACCATCCTGGTTACCTTCCATACTCTTCTAGAAACAGCACCAGAGAACTGACAATCCCAACACAACAGACATATTTCACAGTAATATTTCCTGAGTAAATATTCCCAGAAGCCCAGCTGCATAGGATACTTCCCAACTCTTGAGTGTACTATAGGGCAAGTCACTAAGCACCACTCACATCACAATTCAAATATAGGCATTGTAAGTTTGGGTCTTGGTACAGAACCTTAACTAAGCTTTAAGGGAAACATATATAAAGCCTTTTTAGGATGATTTATAATCAAACTGCCAAAGCCAAAATGCTGGAACTTATTTCACCAGGGAAACAGCCTCAAAGCCACAGAAATACATTCTGTTTACTATATGAAGCACATTAAGAGATGCATCCATTTTTCTGTTAGCCAAAGTTGAAATGATCACTTTGACAAGATGAACATTAAAATTAAAGAATATTCTGATGGCCTTTCTTTCCTCTATACATATCTTAGTTAAAATTCATGCATTCATGACTTTTGGTAAATTTAACTCTAAGATGAGTCATAAATAGTATTTCTATTGCATTATAGACCAAATTTTGCAATCTGCTGTCTCATGCTCATAACCCTCCCCCCCTGACTTTTAAAGCCTGTTTAACTCCTCTGCAAATCTAGACAAAAGCAGCTCAGGCTGGCAAAATGTAGGCACATAAACCTCAAATGATCTCCCATTGTTTTAAGCATAAAATAAAAAGCAACAGTGCCGAGCTTTCCTGCTCAATAAACTATTTCCAAGGCATAATTTGTCTAATCTTGCACATTTCTTCTTCATGGGCCAAACTCTCACTTATAAATATGCAGAGATTCAAGGCTATACTCTGGAGCACAGCTGGCCCAACAGCATGCAGAAGAGATGTTCACTGACAAAGAAGCCAAAACAAGACACTGGGATCAGGAGTAGCTGCTGCTTCAAATGCTACCAGAACCAGTCCTTTTCTGCTGGGTGTGGACCCTTCATATCAGTCTTCAACATCCACGGGCCACAAAAAAGCAGATTTAAACAAAGCAGATGGGCAACATCTCAAGATAGCAGGGACCATGAACTGCAGCAGCCACACTTTTACACTTCTCCTTCCCCCCTGTTGTATGGAATTGCACATGGATGGGCACACAGGGAGAGCAGTAATGCTATAGAGCTCTGCTGATAAATCCAACAGAGCACATCTGCTGGTGTCATGGGACCAACGTATGAAACATTTCACATTATACAAAGAAGTAGTAACAGATCCCTAGAAAAGTTCACATATAAAATACTGTACAGATGGTCACGTTGATTAGGAACAAGGATGAGGAATGGCTTTAACTAGGCTACCATTGCACTAGCAACAAGTACAAAAAAATTAAATCATGTGCCTACATTTCTCACCGTGCATTCCCAAAGGTGTGTCCAAGAATGACAGGCTAAGTAAAATGTGGGCCTTCCCCATACTACCAGTAAAATTAGGAACTGGAAAAGTTTAATAGTAGCATTTCCCTGTTTTAAATTCACATGGAATATCAATTGCCCAGCTTAAGTTTGGTAACTCAATCTGTACTCAATTTTTCAAAAAAAATGAAAATTTTCTTGATACTAGAAAACAGCATTTCCCTTGTAAACCCAACACTGCAGAATTACAGAAGCAGGCAAGAGGTCAACAACCAGCAGGGAGAGCAACAGCACAAAGCACATAGTGTTTTAATTTATAGGAATAAGTGGCCTCTCCTCTCTTTTCTTCCAGATATTTGTTTTGCTATCTCTTTTCATGAGAGGTGGTCTATCCCTTTTTTTAGCAGAAGGGATATCAGATTCATGACTTCCTGGTAGAGATTTTTTCCTTAGACCTTCCTCATCGTGCTGTTCTAGTACTGGCCCATTCCCTCCTTCCATAATGTGTCTCACAGCCTGGTCCTCTGGAGTGCAAACAGTGGTCCCACTTTCACTGCTGCTCAGATCCAGATCTTCCAAGTAAAGAATCTTAGAATGTGGCATACTTTTAATGAAAGTTTTCTCTCTCTCCAATTTCCTGTTAGGATGATGCTCATTCATGTCCACACCAGAGTCCAGACTGGTATCATTACTCTCAGTTTTTTTGCCCTTTTTCAGATCTATGAAAGAATGCCTCACTTGAGCAATTGGCTTTCCATCCAGGGACACAAACCATGCTCGGGGATGTGGAGATGGTTTTCCTTTAGAGAGTTCCAGCAATGTTTGTTCCGAAATCCCTTGAAGTTCGGATGAAAACGGAGTCATTACAACTGCTTCATTCAACGTCCCAGGAACAGAGACAGATTCCAGTAAGCTGTTGGTGTAACGGCCCCAGTTGGATGTTTGGGAAGGTAAGCCCTCTTCACCATCCAGGGCACTGCTCTCATCTCTGCAGGCAGAAGGCTGGGGATGAGAGTGCACTGGAATTTTAGGGAGTGTTTGCATGTAACTCTCGCGATTCATGGGTTCCATCATGGGGCCGTACACCAGCTGCCCTTTCCTTGGCAAAGTTGCGGATTTAGCAGGATGCAGTTGTTCTGGGGAGTGGAAAAGGTCTGAGGTTTGAAGAATAGCAATAGGCTGATTGTAAATATGCATTAGATGTTCTGGGATATGGGAAAGCCCATACATCTCCTCTTTCAAGGAAAGGTATCTGTTTTGGTCTGGAATGTCCCTAGGAGCCTGGGAAATATTACTGTTACCGTGCTTTGGCTGCTGTAAAAGCCTCACTCTAGCACTAGGCTCCACTGAATGGACTGAATTTCCTGCCTGACCAGTCTGACAGGATGACTGATAAGAAGCATCCTCTGAGTAGATTTTAAAATTGTCTTGTGATTTTCCATCTTCTGTGTCTATGGACAGCCTTCTTTGAGGGCTGTATGAAGAAATCTTCGGTGTATATAACTGGGACTTATCCTCCAGCTTTAAAGACCCTTTGACAGCATTGATGTGATTTATGTGAGTTGTTGACGTTGTCTGGTCTTTTTTTATGACCTCCAGCTTGGTTGTGTTTTTTTCCTTCTTCTGTGTCTGACGACACTTATCCCTATGCAAAAGAGAAGCAAGGTGACTGCAGAGCATATTAGGAAACACTGGACAACCAAAGCTGAAGGTTAGACTTTGGTTAAGAAGTTGTAGTGTAATTTGACATCACAAACTTAAAATGAAATTCTGTAACAACAGTAATTAAAAAAAAAACATTAGGCTACATGTTACAGTTAAGCTAAGAAGACAAGTCTTAACCTCAAAAGACTGTTTTATCAACCTCGAATTCCACTTATAATGATCTCACTGGAACTTCTTTCGCTTACCTGCAGTAACAAAGAAGAACAGCAAAAAATCCAATGATAATGACAACAGTTCCACCCAGTATGGCCGTAAGGAACACTGTGTGATAGGCTGTTACGTCCTTGGAAACAGCACTAATAATGGATTCTAGATTATCAAACAAAACCAGAAAACCATTAGTTCTTAAAACCAAATGATTCCACTCAATGTGCAGAGCTAATAAACTGAACAGTACTTTTCCAGTGATTTTGTGTTCCAATGGCATTATGTTCATCCTTCCCTTTTCACCTTCCTATTTCAGCAAACTAGAAAATATACAAACAGGTTACAATATAATGACAGGTTCATCTCAAGTACTAAAAGCCTTACCATGACATCTACTTCATTCCAGACAAATTATATTTGTATTAATTGTCCAAACTAACTTAGAAAAATGGTCTACATTTTCTACTTAGCATTCTGTCAGCACTGTTTCTGAAATTAGCCACACTGCTTCTCTGATAGATCTCTTCACATGAATTTACAAAACATGCAAGAAAATCACTGTAAGGACTCAAACAAAAGTTATCCAAGTGGTGAAGTTGCATGTCACTTCTCCTGTTGCTGTTAATGAAGCAATCAAACTGGCAGCCTTAGTGGGGCACTCAGCAATTGCTTGGCCAGCTGTTGCCATACCTCTCGTTCCAGGCAGTGGAGCTGCTATCCAGTAGCCCAGGTGCTGAGCAGTGTATGTCCATACTAACTGACCATCCACTTCCTTGACCATTCCTAGCCCACGGTTTACCCAAGCACCTGAGGAAAAAAAAAAAAGACAAAACATTGCACACGCAATGCAGGATTCTTCTATACCTCAAACCATCAGCAGTTAGGCCATTAGCAAAAATACACAAGGTCACAGGAAAGCCTGAAACCTAGCCACTGTTTATTACGGCTTTAGCTAAACAGGCAAACTTCCTCTCCTGACAATTCCATTGCAAATATCCCTCTGTGGCCATTTGCTTTGAAACATTACTTACCAGAAGTAAACTTAATATGATTCATTTTCTATTAATAACTGTCTTTCACAGATATACACAAATAATTTGAAAAAACCTATTATATGGCCTTCAGCACGCATGAAGGCCAAGACTAAAAAAATGAGGGAGCAGGTAACTGATGCCTATGAATACAAGTTTAACATCAGCTAGCAGAACTTAGTGGGAAAACATTTTAATCTTATTAAGCTGCAATAGGATAAACAATGTTTGTCTTGAATGTTTCTCTCATCCTCCCTGCCCTGAGGCTGTAACAGTTCAGTTGGCCCAAGGAAGTGCTATTGTTAGGACACAGAATCCACACCATCTGTTTGGCAAGGCAAAGGAAAGGTAGTATGGTATGCCAACTTCTACAATTAATAAAGCATGCACTAGAAGAGAGAGAATTATACTTAACTCACTTGAACACATTTATTGGGGGCCATTTGTGAAATTCTAATGACAGAAAACAGCCTCGTGTAACCAACCTTACCTTTTCAACCTGCAAATACTGAGAGGTAGAGAGAACCACCAGCTTTTTTAAAACACCAATAATCAAAAGTATGAAAACAATATAACTCATGTAAGCTGGAGTTTATATTAACTTCAATTTGATTTTCTTCCAGGACCCTTCTTTCAGTAAAGGAAAAGTAAGCATCTCCCAGCCAGGAGGTAAAGATGAGGATAGACACCTGCCACAGATGCTCCCATGCACAGCTACACACAGAGAAAATATAATTTAGCAGTAAAACATGCAGCCTTCTCCTGGAGCTTGTGATAGCTGGCAGAGGGGAAAGGCAGCAGCAACCAACTAGAGTTCTGAAAGTACTTTCTCAGCCACCTGAGAAACCTTGTCCAGAGACAGGAGTAATACCAGCAAACGTGGTATAAAAGGCAAAAATAATTTCTAGTTCTCCAAACAAATCCATAAGAAGCTATACAATGTTTGCTATCCTTTTCAGCAAATTATATCTTCCCCCAATATACTCCATAAAAAATACTTAGTATTAAGAAAAAATATTAAAATGTGATTCATGAGTGAGCCCATTTTCTCCATGGTTTACTGCCATTCAAGCAGAAGGATATAATTCTCAATTTAACGTTGAATACAAGCCTTCTGTTTTTTGTAATTCTATTAAAATCCACAAAGTACTTTTACCACTAATGCAGCGAAGTATTTTGTAAGAAGGAAGCCACACTCAGTATTGATGAATAAATTCTGCATTTACAGCAGCTGAAGTATAATTACAAAAGCTCATTTTCCAGGAACAGTCTCAGTTCCACTTGGAGTAAGCCCTGAGAACACTGCACAGGCAGACCTGTGAAAACAGTTTCTATCTTTTTCCTGCTGCATATGGGTCAGCCCACACCACAACAAACACAGACCTGTTCCCTTGCCACTATCAATGCTGACTTGGGAGCTCTGATTACCATCATAACACATTATCCAAGGACTTCAGAGCTTAAAATTGTGCCAGTGTCTTGCTGGGGACATCTCGCATGCAACATCTTGGAGGCCAGAGCCTCATTACTGCGTGCAGCAGGAGCTCTACATTCAGCTCAGATGGGGGCCTGTTTCTCCTTAGGGATGCTCTGGAATGCCTGCTGCAGAGCTGAGGTGTTCAGCTGCCCTCAGTCACCAGAACCTTGGCTAAAACGTGCCTTGCTATTATTCAGTTACCTTGGGAAAAAGTAATTTTGCATGTGTCAGATCAAAGGTAAAAAAATAAAAGGAACATACTTAAGAATAAACATCCAGAAAGCAAATATACTTGCAAATTTTTACTGTTAGAAAGAAAGAAATGGGAGAAAAAGTACAAATCATGCCCCAAAAGTTGCTGTCCTTTTTCACCATCCTCCTTTCCCTCTCCTCAGCAAGCAGCAGTGAAGGCTCCATGTGGAGCAGTACACCTCTGAGAGCATCCATTACAAACAAGGTGCCTTTATTGAATCTCTGGAAAGTACATCCCATTGGAGAGGGAAAAACAACTGGTTTTATTGGGGTTTGGATCAGCATGCCATGCTCCAGGCTCCTGTTTTACTCACAAGGCCAACATGCCTTTGCAGGGATGCTGAGTAGGACCCTCCACACCCACATAAACACAGTACACTGGTTTATATTCTACTCTGATGCTGTGCTGCTCCAGTTCTGTCAACTCCTTGTTTTAACAACAGTGTTGACTTCGCTTTGTTTAGGGAGGTAAAACAGCTCAGCACAGGATGATCAGGAGCTGGCAAAAGGGGCTTTGGCAGTAAGAAATTTAAATCCTGGGTGATATTTTACCACCTCGGACTAAAACCCTTTCTTTGAAGAAAAATGTTCTTTCCGCTAATTACCCCTCTAAAGTCTTATAGGTGTATAGACAGACTTAATCTTCTGTGCCAAAACTTATCCTATTTACATTTTCCCCACAAAACAGCCTAGACAAATTTTTATTAGCACGTCCTTAATTCAAATCCATGCTCTTCAGGTATTTTTCGTTAAGGTGGTCAGTTTCTTGAACATGTAAACAACACTTTGTTAGAGCTGGTGTCCCTCTCTCGTACTTTCAACTGCTGAAAAAAAGATTTGTGCCTGGATAAGGAGCAGGACTTGACCTCCTCACTCGCATATTTCGAGCTGGAGTGTGATGGTGACCACGAGGTGCAATGTAGGACAATCAGGACACTAATGCACCCACACCTAATACAAGTCATCTAAATGGGTTACGTGGATGTAGCTCATTACTCATTCTTGACTAAAATTAGATGTGAAGGGATGACAAAAGGTTAAGAATGACTAATCCCCAGCCTCTTCTTTGCATACTGGAAGAACTATGTTGTTCCCTTGGATAACTCTTATTTCCCCTTCGTTTCACTTTCTGAATTGTTTTTGTTAACTGAAGCAATATCTATTCCAGTTCTAGCGTCAAAGGATCTTTAGAGCTACACTCTAGGAAACAAAGCACACAAACCTTCAGTTCTGGTTTGCTTTTTTTTAAGAAGAAATTCACAAAATTACTAGGCTTGAAATTTAACAACACCTAAAATATATGTTCTGTGAACACTCAGCCTCCCATGAAAATAAAAATCCAGTAAACTAAATGCAGGCAAAAGGAATGCTAATGAATTTTACCAAAGCTTTCTGAACTATTGAAAGCAGGGAAATACCTTCCAACAATTCAAGCTAGTCCATTTAAAAAAAAATGACAATCTGTTGACCATAGCCTCATAGTGTCCTCAGTGTTCCATGACCCATAGTGCCATGTGCCAAACCTACAGGCATGTGCTAGAAGACAAAATAGCAAATAACCCACTTACCAATTTTCATATCAAATGTCCAGGCAGGTACAGCATCTCCTGATTTTACAGTAGTTGCAGGAAGAGGAAGTGTGACCTGAATGGGACCATTTACATTCAGCTCTTTCCCAGCCAAGAGAACATTTACACATATGGCAGCAAGAGGAGTTAATTCCATGCTTTTGAAACCTGAAGGCAAGAAATATCTTGTAATTCTCCATTCAGTTTATTTAAAAAGAAATAAATTAAAAATTAAGCTACTAAGGGCAAGTTCTCATCCACATCCAGTGATACAGTCAGCTGTTACCAACTTGGTCAAGTAAAAATCAACATTACTTTTCTTCTGAACTTTTAACAATTTGTGATTAAAACAAAACACAGTCATTTCTATACCAATAATATAAGAGAAACAGATTTGCAACATCCGGGTTTTATGCTGACTGTAGAACTAATGATGAAGCAAAACTTGTTTTTGGGTGGGGGAGGAAGGGTCTTCCCCTCAGATAATCAGATTACAAAACACCTAACTCATGTGAAATACAGATCATACAAGAATTTTGGTATAATGACAATGTACATAACATTGAATGAAACTAAAAGCATATGGAACTTCTCCTGTAAGGATTAATTTCCTAATTTGGCAGCCAGAATTAACTGCATAGTTAATAATGAGGCTTGTCAAAGCACTCAGAGGAAATGTTGCATTTACAAAGCAGCCTAAAAGTTTCTTTCCTTTGTTTTCCTTTCACCAGTTTGCAAATGCTCCAGAATGCCCTGTATGACAGGATGGTGAGAGAAGCTGAAACAGAATTACTAAGTAGCAGAATAATGTTAAATCTGTCCAGGCTGTTAGAAGCTGCTTGTGAGAGAACTCCTGGCACATCAGATATCAATTAGCTTCCACCTGCCCTAAAAGGAAGCCTATTCCTTTAGGGGTATATGAATAATTTAAAACACATGCCAGACAGATTGAAGGGAAAACTCAAAGAGGATAAACACTGCTTATTCTCCAATGTTTCTTTCCTTCTGCCTTCCATTTAAAGAGGTGAAATACAGATAAGAAAGATTTTAAAATATCTATGTCAAAATATCAGTATATATGCTGCCTTTAATAGAATGAAAATTAAAGAATAGAGTATGGTGAGTTTAAATAAGCCACGTAGAGCCCTCCTCCTGCACCACGATGGATTTAAGAGCCTCACGGCTTCAGAACCACTGGGAATAGAAAGAAAAGAACAAAAGAAAGATGGAACTGCACACAGTACAACCTACCAGAGATTACTGTACTTATGCAAATTAAAAAACTGTCTGAAAGAATGACATATACTAAAAAAATCCAATGGTATAAGAGCGGAGTTACGACTCATGAAACCACTTCTCCAGTGAAACAGATGCACAGAAAACATTATTACAAATCTGCTCTGTACACACAGGGACCACTTGGTCCCAAACTTGCCAGACTGACTGACTGTGAGCCAAGCAGGGAGTTCCCTGCAATCTTTGTGCTGGGTGTAAGGCCCTAGAACCAATCACTCCAGTGAAAATGCAGAAACTCCTCAGCTGAAGTTAATTGCTGCTGTTTCACTGATCTCTAGGTTCACCTCATTTACAGTCTGGCTATAACTGCATTTTTAAGGTGTTTACTAAACCAATTCCACAGTCTCACAAAATCCTGAACATAGATACATATACACATATATAAATGTAAAAAGCAGACTCTGAAGTTGTGTTTCACTGCAGCAAGATATATTCTCATACTGCATGGATCAAAACAGAGTAACACTGATTGCTCACCTGATGTGTTTATACCTTACTCCTGTGGAACAAAGCTTTCTGATCTAATACAATGGAAGCAGGTTTAAGGTGCCTCTTAAATTAAGCATATGTTTTACTGTGCACTCATATGCATTATAATATTATAATCTTTCTTTATAAGAATTCCTAATCATCATATTCACCCACCTGATTTATTTAGAATAATTCCTGTTGTATAGAGAAAGCTGTCCACTTTCAAAAATTGCTCTGGCACTGTCAGATAGGCTGTAACATTTGCAATATGATTTGATGGAAGCTTTATTAAAGATTTTGGAAACTGAACACTCGGTTGGGATTTGGCATCTGTAAAAGAGTAATATTTTGTCTTAGCCACAGTAAAACAGACAAGCAGTGTTTTTATAACCCATCAGAAATCCACTTAGCATAACAATCTGTTTTCACCCATTTTCTCTGTGATTTGTGTATTTCCAGTCTAGTACTTGCCACAGCCCCTCGTATAGCTACATAATTAACAGAAAATCTGGCTTTAAGTAGATAGGTATTATATGAGAATAAGATGATGCTTATTTTTTTTCCATGTGGGTACAGATGGCTATCACAAAGTGTTTAGTTACAGTCTGCATACATAGAACTTACCAGACAGTTTTCCAGTAATTAAGACAGTATCTTCAAAGAGCCATATATTAGCTTGACTTTGTGGGAATAATGAGAGCGTCACGGATGAATATACTGTGGAAAATTATAATATCTGTTACTCTGTGCAACCAAAAGAAATCCTCCAAGGTCTCCAAGCCTAAAGAACTATTGAACAGAGCAGATAATAAACCAGAGAGCATATGAAGATTAAATAAATTCCTCCTATTATCCAGAGCAGCAATTTTAGTGTTTAGGCAGAAAAACCTCTGTTGAATGTTTTCTGCTGTTTTATACCTTCTATGGATAACCAAGTAGAATTCTTTAATGTGTCATTTTTTCAAAAATATCATGTGCCTTTTTAAGAGAATGCAGTAGTTAAACAAGAAAACCAGTGAGGAAACTACTGAAGCAGAGCTGTAACATGTTATACCTGTTTTAGAGGACAAAAAGCATTGGCACTCCAAGAATCACTCAGGTCAACAGGATTTTTGTCAGAACACATTAACAGCTCTTTGCTAACTCTAGGCAAAAAAATCTAAGAATTCACTGTGTGTCATAACATAACCCACCTAGATTTTAAAAGGGCTATTTTCTGGTTTAGAGTAATCAGAATTTTGACAAGTTTAACAGACCGTTCACCCTTAGATCTGCATTGACAGGCATCACCTCTCTTGACTGACTTCACTGAGTTGTGTTCAGCTGACAGCAACTACCCAGACAGCTTAGGAGAGAAATTTAATTACTGCCAGATAGTTTAATAATAGGACTGTAAGATGCTTACGTACTTGGCATACGCGCAGTCTTCCAAGGCAAAGGTGTCAGCAGGTAGCCATCCTTGTATGAGACAATAGTTAAACTTAATCCTAATTTGTAGGGGACTTTTATTAACACTGCTCCATTGTTTCCAGTAAGAGTGGAATTTGTCAGGGTGTAGTTAACAAACACCTCTACCACCGCTTGTCGCAGGTACTGATGACTGATGATGTCATTTACTTGAACTTTTAGCGTAAAAACAGATCCTATTGACAAAAAGAAAAACAGGAGGTCATGATAATACATCACAACTAAGGATTATCATTCTGTAAAGAAGTCCTGGAGTTCAGGTCTTTATTATTCATCCACTGCACAGTGGATCTCTATCTCTGGCCAAATGCAGGCTTAACCACACAATTATATATTCCAGAGAAGGGGGAAACAAAAAACCTTAAGATGGGGAAAAAGGGTATCAAAAAGTGTTTCTCAAACTCAGCAAATATAACAGCTAACTAGTTAAAAACAAACAAAACCATTCAAAACCAAATTACAAAGCAATCTTCCTCTTTTTGTTTAAGCTTGAAGAATGCATCTGTGACAAAGTGAGATTTACTGTGTTCTGCAATATCACACTGATAATACAGATGGTCTTGCTATCCAACCCTTGGCTTGGGACACACATTTCAAGATGCACCTTGAGTTTGTAAAGGCACAGAACCTGATGTCTACAGACAGTGGGACAACACATTTATATTTATATGTGTAACATTATTATAAAGCAACCAAATTCATCCAGACACTGTTTTGAGCTACCATCTCCAACCAGATTTGCACTGGGCTACTTTTCACCTTCCTACATTGCAACTTCTAAACAGTATTTCTCTACTCTAATTGGAAGAGCTGATAGTTCATACAACACCCAGTGTATCTCTCAGAGATCATAATTACAGTGACTAAAAAGTATGTTGAAAACAATAAATCCACTTGAACAGTAGTCTCAAGGTGCTCTGAATCACATAAAATTTCTTTCCCACCCTGATGGCAAATAAACTATTAGGGAGTCTTTTCACAGTATGTGAAAAGGGGCAGAATTCCACATTATTTCCAGAATAGTTTGTTGTTAGAAATTAAAATATCTATGGATCAATATTTTAAATAACAAATTTTCCAGTATTTTGGTTACAGATATTAGTATATCTATTCAATATCACTGCACTACTTTGTATCCTAATACTTTCAAATACATGCATCATGAATATGCATTTTTATTTGGGTCAAATGTCAAGTTAAGTTATTTGAAATGTATTACCCAAAATTATACTTCAATTTCATGATGCAATCCCCACTGTAATTGAGACTGACATTGCACCAAGAGATTACTGCCACTGACCTTGATTTAAATGAATAGGTCTTGAGGAGCTGAGTGCAATCCATCAAAAAAAAACCCAGTATGTAGTGGAGATGCCCTCCAAATTGGGACTCTCTGAAATAAGTATTTATTTAGATCTATTGTATGCACGAAGTATATTGTATATTCATGCAAAAAATGACCTGCACACAGGAAAAGCTACACTGGCCTAATTTATTACCGTTTACCACACACAGAGCAGAAACTCACCAGCTGTGCTAGACTGATTCTCTGCAATGTTATACAAAAATCTGCATTTCCTTGAGCAAATTGATACATATTTTCAGAAAAATAAAAAATAAACTGCAGTGGCACTCAAACGTATTTGACGGAATTAAACAGAAAATGCACAATAATCTTGGAAAAATGTCACGTGCTTTCTTTTTTTCCTTATGAAAGATATTTTGAGAAAAAATCGCTTTAAATTGCTGTGCTAGAGGGGTTTTAAATCATGGGGGGAAAAAATTATGTCATGTCAGCAAATTACAGGCTCCAAACAGCTCCTCCAGGCATTGATCCACTTACACAGATACTAGCATCATTCCAGTGGCTGCCAAAACTTGAAAAACAGGTCATTTGCCCCTGGCCAATGATTAGTTAAAAGGCTACAGAGGAGAGGAAACAGTCTGTGTACAATATTATTATCCAGTAACCATTTGGAAGTCAGGAGTCTGTCATGAAATGGTATTTAAAAGTAAGAACTACAGTGATACAAAATTCAAGCTCATGTCAGTAAGAAGGAATACCAGAAATGTCTGTTATAAACTGGTATTTTACCAGCTGGAATCAAGACAGGAGAAAAAGAGCCTAGTTTTAACAGCTGAAATAAAGCATAAAAAATTAAAACCTAAAATGTACTCAGAAAGACACATTCTTTCAATCATTTCATACTTTTAATGAGTATTTTCCATTTCCTGCTGACAAAAAGCCTCACAAGAACACACATGATTGAGGGCAAATGCCACAGCCCTCCTCCAGCTGTTAGTAAATTCAGAGGCTGTTCTGTGCAAAACTATTTCTTCCTCTCATCTCCTTCAGTTACAGCCATATTAAACCCCACTTTCTTAGAACCTTTGGGTTCCAAAAAGCCAAAAAAAAAACCCAAAAAAAACAAAAAAAAAAAGACTGCAAAACTGTAGAAAGCTGTGCTATTTTCTTCATGTCCCTGAATATCCAGACACAGATTAAAGGAGACTCAACCCGAGCTCTCAGTGCCTTTGGCCTCATCTTTTGTGCCAACACAAGACTCCTCCTGAGAAGAGGGAGTTGTGTCCTGCCTGCACATGGATTTGCTAATATCAGCTAGAATACACTGTGCCAACAAGTCACTTTAAACTCCCACTCAATGGTTTTGAAGAGACTTTTAAAAAGAATTATTCTTTGCACTCCTCAACAGTAATGGCACAGGAGATTTGAGGACACATCATTATGCCTCTATGCAAATGTTAAAAATCCAAGCAAAAAAAAGCCAGAATCCAACCGTAATAATTTTCCACTCACACAGCCACATTCACCATAGTTTTGCAGAGCAGTTGTTGCAGCCTAGCTAAAAGCAGGACATTCCCAGGGGCCCAGAGCTCAGACTTTGTATGCAGTTCTGGTCCTACAGTACTGATCATTTCTTTCCAACCTTGACATCCCCTGACCAGCTCCCTCCTCAAACCAACCCCCTCACAATATGCAAATTTATCACAGATTTAATGGCATTCAGTTATTAATAATGTCACAGTAACATCCAAAAGACCTAATTAGCAAAGAAAATACCACCTTTCTTTTTCTTTTTTATAAATATCTTAATTTACAAGCCTTTGAGGACAATTTTAAATCTCATCTACAATGGAAACTGCAGTAGGATATTTTAATCACAATAAAATATACTGAAAAAAACAATTCAGATGAAAATAATGAACAGTTGGTTAGCTTTTTAACAAAACCAAAGCTGAAAACTTAAACAATGGATGAACCTTGTGCTTCTTTCTGGTCACTGACACATGCCAAACACAAGTGGGTCAGCTACATCTCAGTATTAAACAGATTTGACAGAACTCCTACAATTAGAAGAAAGAACTCAGTCCTTGCTAATTTGATTTGTGCTGCCTCAGAGGAAAGGATTCCTCTCTTGGCAGGTCCCCTGGAAATGCCAGCTCCTACAGCATTAAAATGTTTCTGATAAATGTTCAAATGCAGAAGTTATTCAGACAAAGGGAAACACACACTGCCACTAAATGTATCACAGTTAGCTACTTCAGAAATGTCCTGGTCAGTAAAATTGATGACGTCTCATTTCTTTGAGAAAAAAATATCTAATGCCTGGAATTTGGCTTCACATTACTATCCTAACTCAGAAATTGTATCACAGAATTAAGCCAAAGAATTGCTTGAAATTGCAAGCTTGGTACAAATGTAACAGTGCAAAAAAACCCCTCAATTATGGTCCAGATAATTTGTTCTTAATTCTGCAGACAAGCATGTCATCTGGTTAACATTTATGTGAGATTTAATTAACATGGTCAAGGCCAGAACCCTCACAGGCACCAATATATTCCAAACTACACGTGTCATTAACTGAGATATGGTGATGAAACACACACAGGGCACTGCCCAGGAAGAAATCTACAGATCCTGTAACCCAGCCCTAAAAGTCCCTTTCCCTATTTATCACCAAGTTCCTATAGCCAAAGAGGCTCTGCACCTGGAAGGAGGATAACACACAGACAACTACCCAGTTAAGCAATTATCTTATGGGATAAACAGTAACTACAATCAAATTATTCATTAGTTCCTTCCTTCAGAGGGGACTCCTCTCACCCTTGCCCAGAGATGTTAAACCCGTGCCAGAAAAGGCACACACTGATATGAGTTCTATGGCAGCTGACTATCCCAGGCTCCCTGCTCACCAGGCACAGAAAACTGGGGCTCTGCCATTTCCTTGGTCTTAGCTGACTGAACAACCCTTTTTTCCATCTTTTACATTCATAGAACACCATATTTTTTGGCTTCACGTAATTAGGGATATGAAAGGTGCACTGATCTGAAAATAAAAAATGTGTAAAAAGAATAAGGGGCTTTACTACCCATCCAATATTGCAATGGGTATTGCCATGGGGATGGGGGTGGGTGGAAATCAATGAATCACATAATCTAGGCAGCCAACACACATCTGGCTTCAGTAAAAAAGGGCCATGCAAAAGCCATCCCCCTGCCCACAAACGCCAATCATTCCTCAAAACTACAGTAATAGCAGTGACAAACTACAAAAGCACAGATTGAAGAAGTAAAAGCTGCCTTCAGTTCATGAAAAATCCGCATACATGAAGGGGACTTGTGGCAGCACCTGAGGGCTGTGGGGGTAATTTAGTGCAGGGCCAAGCCCCCCCTCCCCACAGGGCACCATCCATCCGTGGGTACCTTTGTTCTGGAGTAAGGTACAAAGCACTGACACAGGACTGAGCTTTCTGCCTTGTACACTGTATTAAAATGACATGATAGGTGACCCCTAAACTCCCATAACTATTTTATGGGTGTATTGTGAGAGTTATTGTCAGGCACTGGGGTGAGCTCCCTGGCTGGTTTTCAATTATGCTTCTCATAGCTATCAAATAACCTGCAAATGTAATTAATAACCTCTACAGCCAAATGTAGGCTTCATTTGCTAGCTATTAGTGTTCTTTTATCCTGTCATACTCCACGCAGTAATTTATAGACCCTAGTACAAATGGGCATATACATGCATAAAGATCTTTTTAACTCTACACAAATCATTCTATCTATTCCAAATTGGTATCGGAATATCTCATTTAGAAACTAATTACGTGATTCTTTATAAGGATGTTTTATATGCTGCTCCTCTGATTTAAAACAGTAGAAAATAAAGAGCAGAACATTATTTTTCCTTCCT